ACAACGATATTCAACATAATATAGGCCTAAACTGTGAAAAAATAGAACAAATATATGATATCCTAAGCACGCACATACACACACATGCATACATATATATATAGATATAGATATACAAATACATATATATATATATATGTGTATGTGTTTTTCCTGTTGTGTGTCTGTGTGCGTGAGTAAACCCGAGAAGCAAGATAAAAGCCGTCAATGGTAAAAATCGCTGGGGTAAAGAACCATGGTATCTGAATGGATGAGTGTGCAAAACCGTACTGGTATTCAACTAGAGGACGAAAGAAATATTTAGGATAAAAAGAAAGATGGAGAGATCACACTTAGAAAACCCATAAACACGTGGTTGATAGAACACATGCGTGTTTGCACGTGAATGCACGCACACCTGAAATTGGTGAACAAGAAACCTAAATACACGGACATTCAAGCATAAAGTTACAGCAATTTGCTGGGCCACAGGGGAAGGACGTGGGTTGGGGCAAAAAGATGGGCGGAGACCGAATGGGCTGGGCAAACGAGTAGGTATCGGCAAAAACATAGATATGAATACCAATGGGCGCCTTGAAGAGCACAGTGATGCCTAGGGTCGGTTGAGGCTGTCCTAAAAAGCCACATAAATGAAAAATATAAAAGTGATGGCGTCAAGGATGAACAGAGAAAAGAGAGTGGAGGAAATGCAAGTTCTCAGCATGTTTGGGCACACATTTAACTGTAAAAAATAGACTTTCTGTGGATTGATTCTGGCTGCCTTGAGCAGTTCTCTCTCGGCTCTGCTCCTCTTGCCCGACTTCATCTTTCCCGTCTGTGAGTTCACCCTGCCAACTCGACTTGAGAGCAGACTGTGGCAGGCCTCGTTTATTCACATGATCAGTCCGTGAGTGTGAGGACGGACTCGGGAGCAAACTTGGCCCGTAGCCCGTAGCCCGTAGCTCGTAACCGGGGATCAAGTGGGCAGTTGTGTGAAAAAAAGTCTGAGGGAAGGCGAAGCTACCTCTGGGAAAGGAGCTGGAATAAACCGGGAGACATTGGCGCTTTATATTTGGGTTGGGTGGAGGACTTGGACGGGAAATGGGGGACACGAGCGTCGGTAGAAACCGAGACCAACCATAGACACAAATAAACGCCGAAGACGACAGAACAGAAAAACAAGTATCGGATATGAAGGAGGGGCTGATTGGTGAAATGCTGTTGGGGCATTTGCAAGGAGATGGTATCCAGCACAATAAGTGGATAACGGCTTGGAAATACATGTGTATGCATTTTTATGTGTAAATATATATATATAT